CGCGCCCCAAATCTGTCCAACTTGGTCTAACATCCCCATTTGGTGCTCAATGCTAATTCACGATGATTCGAAATGGACGGAGAGGTAAATTTGAGATAATATTCTCATTAGTAAGGTATGCGGTTAACTTAAATTGCGGACTCAAAAGATTTAAATTGGAAAAAATCAGATAAATTATTTGATTTAAATGGAAAAATTTGGAGACTTGAGGATTTAAATTTGCAAAAATGGAAACATTATTTGATTCATTTGGTTAAATCAAGTGGATTATTTGATTTATTTATGGAAATATTGGATTTGCTTGTGTTGGATTATATGTTTTACTTGGGGAAAATTATGAGATTTATTCGTGGAATTATTTGATTTGCTCGAGAAATCATTGGATTTATTTGTGGATATATTTGATTTGCTCGAGCAATCATCGTATTTATTTGTGGATGATTATTTGATTGGCTCGAGCAATTATCGGATTTATTTGTGGATGATTATTTGATTTGCTCGAGCGATTATGGGATTTAGGTGTGGATGATTATTTGATTTATTGAGGAGTATTATTTCACTTGCTTGTGGAATTATTCGATTCGTTCGAGGAGAATTATTTGATTTGCTCGAGATATTATTTGATTTATTCGTGGATTTATTTGAGTCGTTCGTGGATATATTCTGTTCATTCGTGCAAAACTATTTGATTTATCGGAGGAGCCTTTTTGATTTATTAGTGAAGTACGATTGGACTTATTTGTGGAACAATATGCTATTCATTCGTTAATATTCAAAAATATTATTTGATCGAGAGATGATTGGATTGATCGTGTATTTAATTCGGTCATGGAGATTATTTGATTTACTCGTGAAAATATTCGATTTGTTTATGGAGGATTATTTGATTCGCTCATATTGGATCACTTGGTTTATTTGTGAAGAACTATATAATTTATTCGTGTACATTATTGGATTTGATCGAGAATACATTATTTAATTAGTTCATGAGGATTATGCGACTTTTCTGTGGAAATTATTTGACTTAATTGAGGCGATTATTCGATTTGTTCGAGGAGAATCATGTGATTTATTCATGGATATTATTTGGTTTATTCGCGGAGATATTTGATTTGTTCGAAGAAATGATGATGCTTTATATTGGATCTCTTGTCTTTCTCGAGTGGACAAGGACAAAATGGATGACATGAACATAAAATGTCTAATGATTTTTCTTTGAATTTTGATCGACAAAAATTCGTGACCATTGGGATTGGACATCCATGCAAACCTTCTGACAAGGAAATTCGGCTCTCAACAAATGGTGTAGACAAGCCAGGAAGAAACAACGAAATGACTCGACTCTCGACAAGTTATTGCAGACGAGCCGTTGAATTTTGAGGGCAAAAGAAACGGGCAGAAATCAACCTCTTTGGGAAGGTATGACAAATTGGAGTGGTATTTTCGACCTTCAGGTACAAAACTATTCTCAACTCTTGATGCGGTGGTCGAGTTTGATCGACACACAATTTATGGACACGTTGAGCCTTTCAACATTATTTTTTTGGAGAAATGTTAATTGTTTAAATATTTTGGGCGAAATTTGATGGGACATGATGAGATATATGGATATGTTTGAGATTATTATTTGGATGACTAACAAAAAAATCGGGTGTTATTATATCTTGTTGTGTTCGATCTTTTCCTTTTCGACCTCAGTGGCAGGTCGAGGAATTCGAGCACAGGTCATCATGCACAACCAGGAAAGGGAGGTCGAATACATTGAATATTTTCTATTATTATCTCGTTTGATGTAATTATACATTTGAGGACACTAACGGAAATGATCGATTACTATCCTATCTTGTTGTGTTTGGTGTTTTCCCTTCGACCTCAGTAGCAGGTCGTCCGAGTGGAAAAAAGTCCCTCATTTTCGGAACATCCCTGATCCTACGATAGGGGTGGGCGAGGGTCGCTTGTTTTCGGAACACTCCTCGGGGTGGGCAGGTGGTCTCAAAAGTCCACGCCTCGAGGCTGGACGACCACCATGTTTTTGGAACATCCCCTGGGGTGGGCAAGCGAGAAGACCAAAGTTCCTCGTTTTTGGAACATCCCTGATCCTACGATAGGGGTGGGGGAGGGTCGCTTATTTTCGGAACACTCCTCGGGGTGGGCAGGTGGTCTCAAAAGTCCACGCCTCGAGGCTGGACGACTACCATGTTTTGGAACATCCCCTGGGGTGGGCAAGCGAGAAGACCAAAGTTCTTCATTTTCGGAACATCCCTGATCCTACGATAGGGGTGGGCGAGGGTCGCTTGTTTTTGGAACACCCCAATGGCAGGTCGATCGAATTCATTACGGCACGAGCAGGTTGATTGCATTTTGTTTTGGTTTTGTCGAATTGATTTTTCGATCTCAAGGGCAGGGAGATGAGATTCATTACGACGCGAGCAGGTGGATGGTTTTTGATTTGGCCTTGTCGAGTTTATTTTTCGACCTCGGTGGTAGGTCGAGGGAGTTCATTCAGAGCCGTTCACGAAGTCAGGCCGTTCGAGTTTTGAGAG